CAGCGGGGAGAAATCTTGCCATCCTTTGAATTGCCATGGCAATTTGCCGGTACCTTAGCTCTTATCATATATTATAATTATCTTTTTTCATGTGTCATTTTCTCTGTTCATAAGGCATATATTTATTGGACTCAGCAGAAAATCCTTTCCGCTTGCTGGCTGTGTAGACCTGGGTAGTTGCTGTGTTAGTCTGCTAGGGCTGCCAGAACACAGTACTGCACACTGGGAGACTTCAACAGCGTGAATTTATTTTCTCATGTTTCTGGAGGCTAGAAGTCTAAGATCAAGGTGTCAGCATGGTTTCTTTTAACACTTCTCTGCTAGGCATGAAGATGGCCACCTTTTCTCTGTGTCCTCACATGGTCTTTGTACATATACGTGCCTGTATCTTAGTGTCTTCCTGTTATAAGGACACAAGTTACTTTTTTATTACTTTAAAAAAGTCACCTTAATTACTTTCTTGAAGGCTCTATCTCCAAATATAATCACATTCTCAGGTACTGAAAGGTAGTAGTTCAATATATAAATTTTGTTAGAACACAGCTCAACCCTTAACGATTGCTTTCATCTTTCTGTGCCTCAATTTTCTCTTACATAAAATCTCGGGGCAAAAAAAATACCTCTTGAGTGGTCTGAAGATCTATATATAACATGCAAAACAATACACTGCTAGCCCATAATTGATGCTTAATGAGTATTTATTACTTTTACTCCTATTTCAAGCTCCTTGAAAACAAAAATGCTTTCTCACTCATACTCCGTCCTCGCAATTCCTGGGACAAACTTTGAACATGATTGCTTATAAACATTTGGTGAATAAACGTATGAATGAATGATTAGGTCACAGAAATGAGTCTGCAGTAGGTATGTGCATTTCTCTTTAGATGGATCCAGATATTGGGCAGCAACTAAAAGTTCAGTAACAAAGACTATTCCAAGAAGCCTGTAGAGAAGTCAGTGTCCCCACTGTAAATATAATATGCCCCACGGAGCCAGTTCTAGGGTGGAAAATCTCCCCCATCCTCAGACTTGCCTCAGACTCGAGAGAGTCCTGGGGAAATGATTTGTGACACAGTTGCACATGCACACAAAAAACAGTACCTTCACACAGCCAGAGCTCTCAAGTGATGAGGGACACAAAGACATCGTGCACAATAGGTGTTCCTGTCCGCGGATTTGGCCGTCTTTGATCTCTGCACAGGAGGGACCTGGGCAGGTACTGTGAATGGATAATAGACCAGGAGCCAGCGGAGCAGCGCGCCCTGTGCTGCTCAGTGATCAAGTCGTGGTGATGCCCAGACACCGCGCATCTGATGATAAGCATCTACTCTCGGTGCCTCGGAGTCTCATTTCCTTCCAGCTTGACTCCAAAGGAGCCATTCATCGCTGGCACCCCTGCACTGTGCCACTTTGAGTCTGTAGGTCCTTTCTTTCTGAGCCCACCAGAGGTAACGAGCACGTCATTATTTTTTCCTGCTATCACTACCCTCTTTCTTCCCACTGCTGCTCTCTCCTGCAGCTCTCTGGGGTGGGTTTGACTTTTGTGTCATCCTTAGTGATTAGAATTCACTTTGTTGTGCTAAAGGAATTGGTATCTCTTGTTTGGCTTGGGGACGGAGAGTTGAGTAAAAGTTCTTATTTTATTGTATATAATGTTAACGTTTATAGGCATTAGTAAAGATATAAGATAATGAGAAAGACATCAATTCTATACCTAAGAATTATATCCTTTAATAATGGTACCACTTGGATGTGTATAAAAAGTTTGTTATGAGATCAGATGTAAAACATACAAAAGTTACTCTGTGAAAGAACGTGGAAGACTGGAATATGAAATCATGGCTTTAAATTAGCCAAAAAGCAGCCTCAGAATTGAAAGGGACCCTTGAGATGATGTAGTAGACTAAAGTGATTCTCAACTCTCACTGTACATGTAATCACATAGGAAAATGTTTCAAAGATGCAGAAATTCTCATTTCATTTGTCTGGAGTAGGGTCTAGACGTCATTATTTATTTTTTATTTTTAAGAGATTTATTTATTTTTAGGCAGAGGGGGAGGGAGAATGAGAAGAAGAGAAACATCAATGTGCGGTTGCCTCTCGCAAGCCCCCTACTGTGTAACTCGCGCACAACCCAGGCATGTACCCTGACTGGGAATCGAACCAGTGACACTTTGGTTCACAGGCCAGTGCTCAGTCCACTGAACCACACCAGCTGTGGCGAGAAGTCACTATATTTTTTAAATCTCTACAAGCGATTGTAACATGCAGCCAGGAATGAGAAACATCCGTTTAGGAGCTAGAGGAAACGAAGCCAACATGTTTGGAGTCACTGCTGTATCTTGAGTACTGTGCTGGCTGCAATACAACTCCCATCTCTTTGATACTCATGAGAATAGTGAGATAGCTTGACAGATAGGAGCTGAGGCTCAGTCTTCACCTGTGATGCTCACCTGCCTCCTTACCTGCTGCTGGCAGTATTTGGTGAGTACACGTCCTGTTCCTGTTCTGTTCTTTAAGAAGATCAATGCACGCTGACTGCTTTCCTTTCAGCCCTTGGTGGGCATGGCCTTACCTACTTTTGAGCTTTCAGAAATCAGCCTCAGGCTACTTTCAGCTCAGTGAAGCTTTCAGTTTTAATTTTACTCATTTTTGCAACTCCAGAGCACAGGTCCAGGAGCACAAACATAATCTTTACTGTTACTGGGTCAGGTCCGTCTCATCCCTTCTTCGTGCCACCGTAAAGCAACTCCTTCCACGTCACGTGGAGAGAGGCAGGTGCAAACCCACAAAACACTCAAGGGCTGTGGACAGGCTGGGGTTGCCCTTCCCGCGTAGCTGCCGGTTGCAGCAGCGGGAGCAAAGCATGGCTGTTGTGGGCCCCGGAGGGTGGGAGCGGATGCCCTCGCGTGAAGCAGAAGAACACACCAGCCTCTGGGTGTGTCGTCTCACCCTCCTTCCCACTTCAGAAGGGCCTTTCTTGGGCCTCTTGTTGAATCCAACCCATGTTTCCCCACCCAGATTGTTCGGTCCACCTCCTCCGAGTGACCTAGGAGTGGTGAAGGTGGTGGGCGAGCCGTGGCAGGAGCCAGCACGGGGAGGCAGTCTGTGTGGCTGTCGAGACTCAGGGGAATACCACTGCCTTCGGAACAGTTTTAATGTTTCATGGAGGAAAGAAAAATTGCAGCTTGTTTTTAAGAACAGGTGTCTCTTGATTCAAGTATTAAGTTGGTAAAAGTGGAAAACAATATGATTGAGGAGCCTAATGAATGAACGTTTTTCTTTTTGGGGCGAGGTGACATTGCCATGTATATTAAATAAGTTATGCAGAATATTTATTTTTCCTTACAGAAGTAATACATGATATATAGAGAGAAGAAATTAAAAATATAGCAAAAAAGAAATAAACCATTTGTAATCTATCACCTCAAAAGCACTACACTGGTGTATCTCTTCCACATAATGTTAAGGTGGGGCTAGGCAAAGGTGTTCATGCTTTAAACATATGAGGGTTTTCACTTCACGTCATATATTGAACATTTTCCACAATATTTTTATTGGCGGGATAGAATCTCATTGCACAAACATACTCAGATTCCTTTAATCCTTTCCTTACCATTAAATACTTATGTTGTTTCTAATTTTTATTTCTAGATATTATAAACAATACTTCAAAGACCATTTTTGTAACTGGTTGTGATTAGTACCATCCATTTTGTGAGGGTGTACTCATCAGTTAATAGAATCAAAGGTTCTAGCAAGGAGTAGTTTTGGATGATATTGACCCAAATCATGCCTGTTACCGTGATGGCATCTTCCAGGCTGTAATATGTCATTACCATGCCTGTGATCTCTTTTGGGCATTCACTGCGTAATAAAGATCTTGAACTATAACTGTGTGTCAACCTTAGTTTGAATGATATAAAAATTTAATATATTTGTGACAAGGAAAAACAAGTTGAAGTACAGTAAGAAAGAATGTAATTGCTTATGATAAATATAGGCTTAGCTTCAAAATAGCTAGCTTAAAATTTCCCTTATAGTGCACTTTAAAGATTTCCACTGATGATCTTGGAGGTGTGGCACCCAGCCATTGCTGGAATGAAATGACACACGTTGTTCAAAGTTTGGGCTGTAATTGATTTAATGCATATTTTTACTACTTTCATATTTATCTTATATGAAAAGAGTAATTCTATACACAGGTAATACATAAATAAAAGATAATAATATGTAACTCCAGAAAACAGTGTTTGATGATTTGCCTTATTTTTTTTAAAAGATTTTATTTATTTTTAGAGAGAGGGGAGGGGAGGGAGAGAAACATGGATGAGAGAAACATAGATTGGTTGCCTCTCCTACACGCCCCAGTAAGGGGGACCCGACCCACAACCCAGGCATATGCCCTGACCAGGAATCAAAACGGTAACCTTTTGCTTTGTGGGACAACGCCCAACCGAGCCATGCCAATCAGGGCCTGCCTGATTTTTTAAGAGAAGAAAATGGCTTTCACCTAAGTTTACATGCTTTCTGGCAATATATGAACCATTGACAAAATCAGGAAGTCCATTATGGGACAACCGTCACTATTCTGACAGGCAGATCTGTGTCTCTTTATTTGGATACTTCGTGTCCTTGGCTTTGAGACCCATGGTCTCAGTTGATTGTGTTTGGAGGAATCTTCATCATTTTAGTATGTGGACTTTGGTGAGGCCAACAGAAGTCTCTCTGTTTTTGGCAAAGTCTCTGGACTTTGCCCTCTTTCAGCCCGCACTTGAAGGAGGCAGGGCCTGTGTACCCACGGACCCTAGCCAGTGACTGTATTTTGATTCAAAGTCATAATCACTAACTGTTTTAATTGATGGGACAAGAACTGAAACTGTGGTCTCTTGAGGACAGAGTATTCAGAGCTCTGTTGAGAATAATCACTCATCTCTTCCTGAACCATTTTACTATTAGCCTGCTTTGATGATAATTTTTTTTATTCTTTTCCTTTTTAGGCAGGAGGTTCCCAGGTGATTTTCACAAATCCTTTGGAAATCGTCAAGATCCGTTTGCAGGTGGCTGGGGAAATCACCACTGGTCCCCGAGTCAGTGCTCTGTCTGTCGTAAGGGACCTGGGGATCTTTGGGATCTACAAGGTAACTGTTTATCTGACTGTATGTATGCTCATCCTTTAAACCAGAAACTGCCCATCAGCATGAAATTGATTCCTCACATTTCTACTTCTGAGGAGGATGTTCTGTTGGGGCCCCTGGGGCGCCTTCCTGCCACCCACCAAAAATCTGTCCTTAGAAACACACAGATCAAGGCTGATGGGGACATGAATGATGCCCACAAGTGTTGCTCGGTGCACAGCTCTTTGCAGCAACAGTGGCTGACGCCTTCGTTGGATTTGTTATTGATACAAAAACCTAACTCTCGGTGTCGTCATCCATGAGGGAGAGATGCGAGGATCCCAGGCACAGTCTTTCAGGTTATACGCTGAGCTCAGTTTAAGAGAAGCCCACAGCAGATCAAGAATTTATTATCTAATTCTATACACCCCGGCCCTGTCCATTTGTTTGGGTTGTAATATTTATGTTGAATCTTAATCGTTTTTCATTTAGAAAATAGTTTTTCAGAATGATTGGAAAACCAAACTTTTAGAAAACTCTTAAAATTTGTTATTCACAGTCCTCTACCAAAAAAGTATATAATGGAATATACTGGAATTTGCTTCTTTACCCAGCTGTGATGCTTAAGCAAACATAAGGTGTTCACCATTTTTCAATGAGAAGATTCAAAAAGAATGTTTCATGGTAAACGTGAATGAGTAAACCTTTACGGATATAGGACGAGAAAGCCAATGTCTACGTAAAAGAATTCTCACTGATTTACGTATAAATACATAAAATCACATTACATAGAATTAATTGCCTTTTTTCTATAATCACACACATCAAGAAATATTGTATTCAGATTCCTCCTATGATTCCGAAGTCGTGTCTCCGTCACCATTTAGCCGGCTTTCCGTCTCGCCGCCGCTGTGGGTTTGCAGAGTAGTGCATCTCACCCGAGGCTGGCAGGGCGCAGCACTTCCGCGCTCCGTGCACAGCGCTGCCCTGGCCGTTCCACAGACACGTAACAGTAGTACAGCTGCTTCCTATTTCCCTATTCCCAGTTCATCCTGTATGGATATAACGGGTCCCATAATGAACTTAACAAATTGCTTTTTACACTGAACTTTAAATGATGTGTTTTGACGTTCAGCACAGCATTTGTGAGATCCAACCCCCAAGGAATACTTTTTTATCCTTTTCTTTTTTAACTCACATTTACAGGTAACTTTGGTAATTATCAGTTTTAATATTAATTGAGGTGGTTTCAGTTAAATTTGCTGTCCCTGAATGGTACTTTGTACGTCTCAGACACCCCTTGTGAGGGGAAGACACCCCTTGATGATCTGAGACTTTGTAAGGGTCAAATGTAATGCTTACGCCCTGTTTCCTGGAGCTAGTTTTAGAGAGGGGTGGAGAAGTTGCCTTTTAGTGTGGAATCTGTGGTGCTTTGGAAGAAACATGCTGATTTCTCAAAGTCACACTGAAAATGTTCAGTCTGTGAGTGTTTGCAATGAAACACAGTGTTCTAGCTATTTAACTTACCAAATTATTATCCAGCTATAAGAAATAAACAGTATTGTCATGAGGTACAGCATTGATCATTTTGAGAAAGAAATCATCTCCTTTTCTAAATTTTTAGGCCCTTGCAGACTATATAACACAATGTAGCAGCATGTCATTTTGACAAGATGCCAAGCAGTCTTTCAACAGGTTGTCTGGTAAAAAAAATAAAATAAAAATACTCAGGTACTATGCAGTGACTGCTATCGAAATGCCTAGGTGGATAAAACGGTAAAAACTTGTTTGCTGACACAGAAACAGACAGCTAAACTACCTGCAAATGATACAAGACTGAGACTTAGTCCTTTTCATCTTCACAGTATTTTATAATCTTAATCCCCTTTAACACCCCCTGGAAGTAGTTGGTCTCCTGATTTTGTAGTTAGGTGAGCAGAGGCTGCCAGCCATAGTATCTGAGCTGAAATGGAGGCTCAGAAGTTTCTTGTTTCCACTTTTGTGCTAAAATTGCTTTCCTGAAATGAGCAGGATTGCTCAAGTTTGAGCAAGAGACCTCTCCCATATAAAGTGAGTGTAATTACTAGGCTGGTGGCTTAATCTACTAGTTCAGAGGCATTCCTCAGGGCCTCGTGCCGCTTGGGGTGCATTGGTAATTACCTGGCGAAGTCGCTAACACTTTGAGCTTCTGGAAACTTGATTTCATTACAAGAGAGTGATCTGGCAGTCCTCTCCTTTCCTCTGGTCATTGGTATCATCAGGTAAATTCGCTGAGATCTATGAGTGGGGACTTCATTTATCAGAGTTCATTGCTCTGTTCAGTCTGATTGGTCTTTGTTCCCTTCCTAAATTATCTTCATTTATATTATCCCCACCTCCAGCCTCAGGTTTGGTTTCCAGTGACTCCCTTCTCCAGACTCCCCCACCCTACCCCACCCCTCCTTGGTCAGAATTCAACATCCATCATTTTAGAGGCACCATGGAGCTTGAGCTTTGCTGTGTCGTTTGTTTTCATTTTAGAACAGCACTTTTAGTAATGAGCTCTTCACGGGTTCTTGTCTTGCTGACCTGGAGTGCCCTAATGCCTTTAGACCTGGTTTGCATCCCTCCACGTGGGTCTTCAAAGAGGACTACTGTGTAGTTAGTTTTAGTTGGGACGGGTAATCTTCCTTCTCCTCCCCGCTGTCCTTTTGTGTGCTGTTGTTAACATGACAATGCAGGGCCCAGGAGGGGGGAGTAGTTGGCTGGGGGCCTGTGTGTTTAGGCCTGCGGCGCTTAACCTCACCTAAATTGGACTTAACCTGGCTTTCTATTTTTCTCCTGAATTGACTTGCAAAATACCCCACTATTCTGTTACTCCCCCCACAAATGGCAATTAGAATACTTACTTTAGAAATACATTTACAACTGAAAAAAAAGTAGATGCGGTAAACATTTCACAGTCCTGAGGTTAGAAATAGTTGCAGTGAACCCTGTAAACAAAGCCCCCCTCATTTGGTAACATTTGGAGAGGGTTAGTTACAGCACGGAGCAGGCAGGTGACTGAAGTCAAGGCAGCATAAGAAACTGCCTTTGAAAGAGCTTTTTGAATATAATGTAGTTTTTAAAAATCTGCAACTAGACTGCTTTTCTTAAGAATGTACGAGGATGTTTACCTTTCTCTAGGAAACTTTTGGTTTATTACATAAGCCCATAGCAGAAGTAAAAGAAATTGTCAGGGAAAAGAAAGTGGTATACATGTACTTGGGAAAGTTACCTTTTCCGTGGGAGCCAACAAAGCTTTAATGAGGAGCCAGAGTTCGCCAGGAATGGAATGAAGCTTGTTATTTAACGTTTAATGTCAGCACATTAGGCTGAAAGATGCTTCCTTAAAGAAGCAAACGAACAGTTTATGTCTCTGAGGTCAAAAAATGGCCAGGGAAGCAATGAGAGCTAGGATGCATCGCAGGTTGTTGGAAATTGTTTTTGCGCTGTGCCCCAGCAAGGCACGTTGGCTGTGGCATGGAAAGGCTCTTGGGAATGCGGGCTCTGTCTTCTGCATTCGGAACAGGGGCCTTCGTCCCACTGCACTTGAGAGCATTCAGATATATTTTCATCCACACACACATGTTGTACATATGTGTTCATTCATTGTGTGTGTGTAAATGAATTATCGGAGCTACTGTCCATAAAATCAGAAAGCAAGTAATGACATACGTTCTTGATTATTCTGCTTTGACATCTCAAAGGGGTGTCATTTGTGTGTTTTTTAAGTAGACTGCAAGGGTGTGTTTCAAAAAAAAATCAAATAATTCAGAAATGTCTGACAGGAAAATTCTCTCTACCCCTTAACTCCATTCCCTCTTAAAAGAATAACCACTGCTTATGTTTTTTATATATCTTTAAGAAAAGAAAACCTTCCACTGAGATCAATATTTACCTCCCTCCTCCGTCTCTCCCTCTCTTTCTCTCTGTATATCACCAGTTGTACACATACCAGCATCAATCTGGTGTATGTATTTTAACAAAAGTGGAATTTTTTTAAAGCATTCTTATATCTTAAAGCTCCTTCCTCATTTTATTTAATAGCTGTGTAAAATATTTTTAAGTATTTTTTAAGCAGTTTCCCATTGATGGGTATTTATATTTCCAGTTTGGAAATATTACAAACAATGACAGGGTGAATATCCCTGAATATATTTTGACATACTTTCGTGAGTATATACCAATGGTAAATTCCTAGCAATGGAAATGTTAGATCATGGAGTGAGCATGTGCATTTTTTAATGTTAATAGATTTTGTCAGACTGCATCAGTTCATCAATTTTACCCTGGTAACAAGTAAGTGCATAAGAAAAATTTCTTGATTTAGCAGCCTTATAAAATTACTTTATGAGCTTATGGCTCCACGTGCAGAAGACAACTCACTGTTCAGTTATTACTTTGGGGACATGGAGCTGTGCTAATTTTCTAACTCTAGGGACAGTATATGGTTTTACAACCACCACAGTGGCAGTTCTTACCCTTCTTCTCCCACATTTGACTTTGATCTTGACTTCTGGGAAAGCCACCTCATGGCTTTATTTTGACTCTTGACTCTCCCAAATCCATTGTCCCCACAGGAGCCAGATTTATCTGTGCAAAAAGTAACTCAGAGTAATTCGTTTACTCAACACCTTTTTATTGCTATTGCGAGCTGACTGTATGCCATTCTAGCCATTTAGGGAGTGGCTGTGAAATCCAAGGCTCTGCTCACACTTTGGTGGGTAGAAATAGCCTTCAAGGTAACAAAGATAGGACATCGGTTGGTGCTGAGAACCCTGGTGAAGAAGAAGGCAGGGCGGTGGAAGGGATGGAAAGCGCCAAGGCAGGCTGGAGCGTGCGTGGGAGGGCGACCTCGTGGGCCCTGCAGAAAAGGTGACTCTTACCCAGTCGCTTGCACTGTACCTGGAATAGAACCTCCGCTCCCTCCCCACCGCCCCCGCCACCCCCTTGCTGGTGTCTCTGCTCCACCCCCAACTTTGTACACCTCCCCCCGCCCCCCA